ATAGTGTTGAGGCTGAAGAAGGTTTGGCCTTCATATTAATTTCCCCATCTATGATTTTCCGTAGCCCTTAATAAGGGTAATACTAGTTTGCAATCCAGACATAATATAAACACAGGTTGCGTTTGGTAGCTATAATCGGCTCATGGATTTTAGCCAAAGAATTCCAGCAGATTCATTAATTTTAGCCAAAGAACTTACCAAAGTGGCCCGTGGATTTAGAAGGATTACTATAGTATCTTTCAATAGTGCAGTTTAAACATGTCATATTAGTTATTACAATCTCTTTTAATCCGTTTTTTGTTGTTTTCCAGCTATGTCCACACTTACAGCATCTATTTGTTGGAATGTACTGGCTGACAAAACTGATGATGTCAGTGATATAGGAGTTAAAATCTATCAAAAGCCTGAATCAAATGATATATATGAACTGAGAAGGAAAAAGGTCCCCCCTCTATGCAATGTAAAAGACAACTCAGATGCTGCCTGGTAAGAAGAAAGGGATGAATTCCTCGGAGCATTTCTGTTCTATTATCTACCCACGCTGTTTGTTCATGTTTTTTGGGGGACTGTTTCAGGAATGCGCCCATCAAAATCTGTTTGAATCAGATTCCATCAGCAATTGAAGAACGAGGGACTGAATGGCCTGAAGAATGGCCAAAGAGACTCGAAACCTTTCCTGACTGGATGATGAACAACAATAGAGAAAAGCTGATTTCTGATGATGAACACTGGAAAGATATATTAGACAAATCTTACTTGGTTGGATTTGGAATTGACTGGTCGAACATTAGGAATGTAATGGACATGAAAGCAATCAATGGAGGGTAAGCAAGCTAAAATTATTGTAAAAACACCTTACACTGGCATAATAAAAATTTGTACACACACATGTATGTTATTTAATTATTTCTCCTTAGACTTTTTAGGATGAAATCTGTAGTGTACTAGAGCCCAGTAGGCTCAAACGAGCAACTTGATCCAGCTAAGATTAAATTAGAGTCAATATATTTCAACATTGTTGTGCTCCATCAAGTCATCATCTCGCAGTCATGTAAACCCCCCAATGAAATAAAGAGATACAAACTTACATACAGACATCAAATTGCTCCTCCAAAAAGGGTATTTTAGGTTAGAACCTGGAGTCTTAATATTTATTCCCACAAAAAGAAGCTTGTACGAACCGTTTTTCCCATGTTTGTATTTTATGGACTGTATAACTTGGAGTTGTGCAGGTTTGCAGCTGCTCTTAGGAGGAGGCAGAAGGAGGTTTGGGTAATGAATGTGGTCCCACCCATACATGCTCCCGACACCCTTCCAATAATTTTTGATCGTGGTCTGGTTGGCATTTACCATGACTGGTGTGAGTCATTTGGGACTTACCCGAGATCGTATGACCTTCTTCACGCTGATCATCTGTTTTCTAGGCTCAAGAACAGGTTAGATTATATGTCTACAACAATATAACTTGTTATTTTCCTAAATGAAAAAGGCTTCTGGTTTTGATTTAAATGTGTTATTTTGCGCACAGGTGTAAGCAGCCGGTAGTTATTGTAGTTGAGATGGATCGTATATTAAGACCTGGAGGTTGGGCCATTGTACGCGACAAAGTAGAGATACTCGATTCACTTGAAAAAATATTGAGGAGCTTGAATTGGGAGATCCGAATGACATTTGCTCAAAATAAGGAGGGTATCCTTTGTGCACGAAAAACCTCTTGGCGACCTTGAAGATTCTTTCCCAACCATCAGTGTTGTATTTTGTTTCTCTTCACCATTCTTCAACTGCACAAAGAAAAAAGCAAAACAAAAACAACCAAAAGAACATTATATATTTATATACAAGTGTGTTTGTACCGACTTCTAACCTACATTGTATTTTTGATGAGTGTATAGCTTTGGATTTGGTCTCCAGTTAACATTAACTTCTGTGATAATGTTTTTTATTTATTTATAAATTTACTTGATTATTCTTAGCTACATTGCATTATTGTCATATCTGAGTTTTTGTGCAAGAATTATGCCTCCAGGAGTTGCTGTTTTGTTTAGTACGTTGTTTTCCTTCTTATTTTGCACTTTTGCACAACATATACATCAAGTGGTTTCATTCTTTATTTTCAACGTTGTGAAAATGGGAGGCATAAAATAATAATATCTTCATTTCTTTATACTTGTACTAGGTTAGATCAAATAAAATGAAACCAGAATTAAACACACCTATCAAACCAAATCCAATGAAACTACAAAATTTCTGTCCAATTAAAAATATCCTAAATAACTTCGGGCCTATTAGTACGTAAGAGATATATCACATATTATCACATTACAATTTACGGTTAATTATATCGTTAGTCAATCTTTTCTATTGTTCTATATAGTATATTACTATACTTTAGTCATGAAATGTCGATTTGTCACTCTCTCATTGGCCTGGAATGATAAATGTTAGCATTACCTCTAAAACCATCGCTTAACTCATTAAGTTAATTCTTCTCAATTTATTTTTGCAAAAAATTTACACACCGTTCTTTAAAAGTTGCATCAGTTTGACTTTCACGTTTGCCAACGCACAACTTTGATTGTAAGTATATTTAATTACGTATTAGTAAACATTAAAAAAGTTAATATTTTGGAAGTTTACATCAGTATAATTTTAATAACATTTTATACATAATAATTTGATTATATATATTATTAGAAAATTGTAGTCAAAGTAAAGTGTATGAATAGTACAAAAATCTCAATGTTGCAAATTTTAAAGAACGCGACAAGTATATCTATAAACTATGTTAAAATTCCATTGAAACACAAATAATCACATATCTAAAGTGATTTGATGGAGTATATTCCCATATACCCCAGGGGTATCACAATAAACGAACAAAAGGCTTCCCAGACATATCAAAACACCTAACTACCGAAGTTCCAGCCGAGGCTGACCTCGACGCCCGAGGTCGCGAAAAAATACGAGACAGTGAATCGACAAGGGCAAGAAATTCACACGAGGCCGACCTCGACCCTCGAGGTCGGAACTCGGGAATCACCCAGATAAGGCAAGATATGAGGCCGACCTCGGACACGCTGAGGTCGGCGCCAGCTCCGATCTGTGGCACTGATACGAGATCATCTGGAATCAAATGAAGTCAACGCGAGAATCGCTACTACAAGACAAAACCAAAGACTAGAGACAAATCCTCCAGTAACGAGCTCAAGCCTCCCGAGCTCTGACCTCTGGGAGATCGGGGTCTCACCAACATTATATGGACTTAGGCGTTTCACGAAATCAAGTGCCGCACAAGCTATCGCCACATCACCAACACTGTACGAAGCGTCACATCATCCCAAGCAGATAAAATGAATAATATTCTGGGTAATACACGTGTAACCTACACGGGTAATACAATGTTTCAATGGATATTAAGTGCACAACATACTTATGATCATTTGTTGATGACTAACCCTGCAGGAGGAACAAAAGACATAACTATCCAATGTTCCAAGTATATTGTGTGCACAACATACTTATATGATTATTTAATGTGCTTTCCATATGTGGCTGCATGATCTACGTGGTATATGAGATCATTCTTTAAATAGGCCATTTACTTCATCAATATCTTATGCAAGGATCTTCTCGTAGACTTTTCATGCAGGTTTGGCTATTCATAGTTGTTCAAAATAACTTAATATTTTTTGAAAGGATCCTTGCATGTTGCATGGTTAAGTACATTGAGTGCATTGAATACATGATTGCGTAATCTACTTTCTGCCTTTTGGATCATTACATGAGTTACTCCTAAACTACATATAAGGAAAACTTTTTAAGTAATATCAAGGCAAGTCTCGAATTTGGAGGAATGCCATATAAGGAAAATCTCAACGGGCCTGTACAAACAAGAGTCCTATATATCGGAGATCAAAATGAAGAAGAAGGTATGCTTGACCAAGATAAGAAAAGGATACATATACACTGAAGAACTATTGAAGCTCAAGACAACTGGAATTGCTCTTATTGAGTTCTAGATATAGTTTCCCTTTTTCCCTTCTTCTTTTTGTAATGGGGTTTTGAGGATTGACTACTGTAGCATCCTCTGAGTTGGTAAGTGTGTAGTGAGAGCTTTGTTGTAAAGTTGAGAGGCTCTCTGCTCGCAGGGTAGAGAAGCATAACTTTCCTAGAGAGGATAGAGTTCGGGTGACTCAAGAGTAGACTAGAAGAGTTTCTCTTGTAACCCATTCAAATGCTTTTAGTGAAGTTTTTAAAATTCTTCCGAGGGAGGTTGATGTTTTCTATTCTCTTTTGAGCCAAGATATTTTTTCTCGTTACATTCTTGTGTACTTATTTACTTTGTCTCACTCTTTACCCCACACTAGAACTTGGCGAAAAACTGTCACAGTTCCACACACACAATCCCCCCTTGTGTCACTAACCGTTTCATCATATTTCTTCCTTAGTATAAGTATCACCTTTCAGCTTGTAGAAAGATATCTGATTTGTGGTGTAAGAACTTGCTGTTACTCCGCCCAAATTTCTACTCGATTATATTTAGCACTTTTACCCTCACTATTATCCCAGATTTCGCTTACCCCTAGGTAGGTGATCCATCACCACTAGTTTAGTAAGAGGCCTCAATTTATGGTACATAAGTTAGAATCCTTAATTAAAAGACAAATATAAAATGTGTTTTTTTTGTTTTGTTTTTTTCCTATTATTTTAGGTAAATAAACAAGCGTCTTCTTTAAAAAACAAGTGACTTCCTCATTTTATAAAAGAGACATTTTCAAAAATATTACTAAAATAAAATTTATTTACACTAATATGCTTAATAGTTACTTCGTACTATAATCTTAAGTTAGACAATTTCAACATATATTACTATGATTCCGTTATTACTTTTTTTGAAATGATTCCATTATTACACCGATCACTAGTTATATTTACATTTTATAACCATTTTTTAGGTTTAAATACGGAGTATGTAAAAAAATTATAAAATAATTATCCAACTTATATCAGCAAACTACCCCTAGAGTGCGGGAGCCACCCGCCACACTGTCACAAGAACGGCCCATTTTAATGGCGGAACTCTTTCACTCAGCTAAAGAATCACCAGTTAACGCCGCCGGGGACCATTTGAACATGGAGCCTTCAAACTGACGCTGCTTCGTCTGCATTTTTTCGTCGGGAAGTTTGACTTTCACAATGTCCCCTTCACTCTCTTCTCTGCGTACACGTCTAGCCGTGCTTGGCTTACTCTCCGCCACAACCATCTACCTCTTCTACAAGTCTCGCCCCCACATTCGGCACCTCCGCAACCGCCTCAAAGCCCTTACAGGACTTCCCGCCCGAAACCCTAACCATAACTCTAGAGGCAAAATATTCTATCTCTCTGAAACTGGCACTTCGAGAGCCCTAGCTCATCGTCTTCACGCCTTCCTAGCCCTAAGTGATCTGCCGTTCGACCTCATTGATCCTAAAGACTATGAGCCGGAGGATCTGCACACAGAAAGTCTATTTTTGATTGTAGCTTCCACCTGGGAAGACGGGAAGCCTCCTGCAAATGGTAGATTTCTAGGGAATTGGTTGACCGAGAGCTCTGATGACTTTAGGGTTGGATCATTATTGCTCAGCAATTGCAAGTTCGCAATCTTTGGTGTTGGCAGTAGATCTTATGGTGAAACTTTCAATGCTGTTGCTAGAGATTTCTCTAAAAGATTGAGAAAACTTGGGGCAGGGGAGGTTTTGGAGGTGTGCCAGGGGGATGTAGACGAGGGGAATTTGAATGATGCATTTGATGGTTGGTGTAAGAGGATGGCAATGATTTTGAAAGGTAACTGTGGACAGTATTTTTCTAAAAGTGGTGCTATTGAGGAGAGTGATGGTGAGGTTAGTGAGGATGATGACGAATATGACAGTGAGGTAGAAGAACATGGTGAGGACAAGGGGGTTGTTGATATTGAGGATATTGCTGGTAAAACAACTGACGCTACTAAGGCTAATAATGGGAAGGTGAATGGTGAAATATTAAACAGGGAGAAAGAAATGGTCACTCCCGTCATTCGGGCTAGTTTGGAGAAGCAGGTAACTTGTTCTTTAATTACAGGTCACTAAAATTGCAGCCTTTGATTTTTTATTTCAATGAGTTTACTAATCATTGATCATTTTCTTGGAATTGTTGTTGTTAACAATTCTGATTTCCTTATGTATTTATAATACCAATAAATTTTCTGAAGACGCAAAGTTGTTAGTTCATCCTCTCATTATTTATGTATTCTTAGGGGTACAAAATAATAGGTTCACATAGCGGTGTGAAAATTTGTAGATGGACAAAATCACAGCTTCGAGGGAGAGGAGGCTGTTACAAGCATTCCTTTTATGGCATTGAGAGCCACAGGTTAGCACAGCTTTTTTATGCCTTCATTTTCTATCAAGATACGTCTTTTTAATTTACTTAAGGTACGGCACTTGTAAATTGTCAAAACTTTATCAGAATTTTACATTAGTATGCGATTTTAACTAAATTATAACATATGTAATTGTTTGGAACATTTTTTTGAAAACATCAAATTCAATGAAAATTACCTTCTTTTGTTTAAATATAGGTTATGCCAACTTTGCACTTTCACATTTATAGGAATAATAACAGTTTTGAATGGTGCTATGTAATTATTATGTATTTAGGTGCATGGAGACAACCCCTAGCTTAGCATGTGCCAACAAGTGTGTTTTCTGTTGGAGACATCATACGAACCCTGTAGGGAAAAGCTGGCGGTGGAAGATGGATGATCCTTTGCAGATTGTGGAAACTGCAATAGAGTTGCACACGAAAATGATAAAACAAATGAAAGGAGTTCCAGGTAGTAGTCACTTCTTTTGCAAAAATAAAAGAAACTACGTTTTGTACTGCTATTTATGTGATTCGTTCATTCATTCATAATGCTTGTTATTCAGTTAAGCTATTTTGTTATAGAGTCTGGCATGCATGCACTGTTCTAGACTGAGGAAATGACTAATAAGCGGGACTTTTATGTCACCATTCCCAAAATGTGTAGATTTCATTTCAGGTACAACCGTACAAAAACACGGGACTTTAATGTCTGACCATTTTCAGATTTATGTAATCCGACTATTGGAGCTGGTTTCTGTGCTTTTTTCTTTTCTTTCTTCAGCTCAATCAACATTTCCTTGCTTTCAGTTTTGGAGTTTCTTTTGAGAAGTTAATGTCTGGGTATGGTAGAAAATGTAGATAATTAGTTTGGCCATTTCAGACATGGTAGGTTTGGGGAGGTTAAATTGCGTTTTTTTTTCTGTTTTTTTACTTATTATTTTTGTTTCTTTTTCTGCTGGGTTGGTTGAACATGGAACAAGGAGATTGCATGGAAGGTTGGATTCTTGGGTTTACTTTTGTGTTTTTTAATTCTTTAGGTTGGTTAAACAGGGAAGAAGGGGAGGTTTGGATCTTGGGTTTATTTTGTGTTTTTTATTTTCTTTCATCCCTAGGTTGGTCAAACAAGGAAAAAGATGGTATGGTATAATCACTGAGAAAACTCAAACGCGTATTGAAGGTTCACATACGCAAAAAAGAAAATGATCCCGTCTTCAGAGAAAACCCAAAATAATCTCGTAAAATTTTCTCGTCTTTTCCTAATGCTCGCTTTTTTGTCAATGACCCCCATTATGTTGGTAATTTTTGTTGTTGTGTAACACAACACATACATAGAGACCAATGAATCATTAAACAAGAGGCCAAAACTGGATAGTTTTAACTGTTTAACTGCTTAGTGCAGATTATAATGTGTGCCCGTTTGTCCTTATTTGGCTTACCAGCAATGTTTTTGACACTAAGTAATTTTGTTGCATTAGTTGGTAATAAGAAAAAACTACTTTCATTTGAAATAACTTAAATGATGGTAAGTGACCCTTCTACCTTCATATTTTGAATATTATTTTGTTTAGTATTTTGAAAATATATTGATGATACTCTTCTTAGACAATTCATTCAATTTAACTCACCGCACTAGGCAAGACTTAAGTTATTTACAGCAGCAGAAATTTGATGTTTAAAAATACATTAAAGTTGAAAAGCATTAAAGCACTATGAAACATTGATAACCAATTCCAAAAGAATAATACTGGAATGTTTAAGAGTAGTCAGTGGAAATAAAAAGTCAGGTTCAGCAAATATAGTAACTAGTGGTGCTGAAAACATGGTGGGGTGGAGGTAGTAGTAAACACTGACGAGGGAGATAGAACTTTTAAATCAACTTATAGTAAGAGAGAATTGGAGAACATTTTCGTCCCTATTATTTGCTTGTTACTTTTTTGTTTGGTCCCTCCTGACTTCAAATACCTGTGGTGTTTGTATTTGTTTGCAGGGGTAAAATCAGATCGCTTGGCCGAGGGCCTTTCTCCTCGGCATTGCGCATTATCACTTGTTGGTGAACCTATTATGTATCCAGAGATAAACTCACTTGTAGATGAATTGCACCGTAGGCGCATTTCAACTTTTTTAGTAACCAATGCACAGTTCCCTGAAAGAATTATGATGCTAAAACCAGTCACACAGGTAGATAGATACACATAGTGATTGAGTGATCATCCATTTTCACCCTTCTGTTTGTTGTTAAGTTTGGGATGCTATGGTCATTTCATATGTGAATCTTATATTGCTTCCTTAAAACTATGCAGTTGTATGTTAGTGTTGATGCAGCCACAAAGGATAGTTTGAAAGCAATTGATAGACCACTATTCGGAGATTTCTGGGAGCGATTTGTTGTGAGTAGTGGTACTTTACTTCGTGTGCCTAATGGCTTGTTTGGTTCATGGATTTTAGACAGGGAAAGGGATGTATGATTGACTTTTATTTTACGTACTAATTTATCTGTTTTATTAGTGTTAGATTTGAAATTACTATTACTATCTATTTTTTGAAAGAAGAAATTACTATTACTATCTCAATGGATAGATCATGCATTTCTAAATAGTTTTTTATATTCACTTTATCTCCAACCATCTAAATATAGAATTGATTTAAAAAATAAAAAACACTTCTCCCCCTTCCTCCAAAATCCCCAAACCAAACAACTCCTATATATTTCTCAACCTTTTACTATTGCCTTTTACTTCTGTTAGAGATAGGTTTGCTACTGTGCTACACAAGTTGAGAAATATTTTACGCTCCGTTTAGGATTGGCCTTGAAGTATTATTTCTTTGTGCCAAAGACATGGCTTGATCCCCCCTTTTACTTGGAAAATACAATTTATGGGCAACCAGACACATTTTTGAAGGAAATAGCGTATGGTTTTAATAGAAAAAAGTGAATTAAGTTCCACTTTGACAACTTTCCCATGAAAGTACCAAATACACTCCCTCAAAGTGAAAGGTCGTCACAACTTATGAGTTGTACAACAGTCATCATTACGTACCAAAGTGAGCTGAATAGTATTAAGATTTGGAGTCTCTGTAAAGCTTAACTAAATAGATGTAATCCAAGGCGTTATATGTTACGTAATATCTTCATATTTGGTCAGTTTGGGTTGAGTCAGCATGCTCTATAAGAGTGGTGGTTAGTTGAAACAAATGAAGTCTATTTTGAGGTGTTCTGTGATCGAGTTGCCCGTTAGGGCTTTATAGACTGTGAGACCATATTAGATCTTGAGTTAGTCATCATTTCAGGTTAACCTTGTAGGATCTTCATTTGAAGTTGACTTTTTTTGGATCCATTATTTCAGTTTGAGATCTTTTAGGATGAAATCAAAATCTTAATATGAAAGCGGAGGTTGGTAAACTCCTAACGAGCCACTATTTTGCATGTGCATCCTAACTCCCAAGTGATTTTCAACGGCTAAATACAAAACACATAAGACCTTAGACTACTGGATAGTTAGAATGTGATACTACATCACTCGTTCTAGAAAGAGTTCTGCTGCAAAGTCTAACCCTATAAACACCATTAAAAATAAGACTTCTGTTCTTATAGGGAGTAATGGATTTGCTTCCAGCATAATAAATGATACTTGTCTTCAGTAATATTTACTGGTCTTTCATCATGTGAATATAAGACGGATTGTACAAAGAAATCAATTTCATGTATGTCACCTGGTGATGTTTCTAAGCCAGAATTGCATTGTAGGATTCCTTGAAAGCTCTTAAGGAAAAGCAACAACGGACTGTGTACAGGTTGACACTAGTTAAAGGGTGGAACACAGAAGATGTAGACGCCTACTCTAACCTCTTCAGCGTTGGAAATCCTGATTTCATCGAAATCAAAGGCGTCACTTACTGTGGAACGTAAGTGTTCTTTTTCTTGTAGGGAGGATAAGTTTATCATCTATCATCTCAAGAATGGTTCAACACATGCATGCATGTATTATTTGGTGCAGGTCTGCTACATCAAAGTTGACAATGGAAAATGTGCCATGGCATAAGGATGTGAAGGAGTTTTCAGAAGCGCTGGCGAAGAAAAGCAAGGGGGAGTATGAAGTTGCATGTGAGCATGTGCATTCTTGCTGTGTTCTACTAGCAAAAGTCGACCAGTTTAAGATCAACGGCCAGTGGTTCACGTGGATAGACTATGACAAGTTTCACGATCTGGTTCGTTTAATTTTTTCTCCCTCTACTCATTAATGGGCAATCTTCTTCATCTTCGGGTTATCAAATCTTAGCCTTCCTTCAGGTCGCTTTGGGAAAGCCATTTAGCAGTAGAGATTACATGGCTCCCACACCATCATGGGCCGTGTATGGAGCTCAAGAAGGCGGTTTTGATCCTGACCAGTCTCGTTTCAAGAAAGAGAGACATCACAACAGATCTACTCCTAGCTGAGAACCATTTTACTTTTACTTCCCTTTAGCATTTCTTAAATAGCATTACTTCCTCAATCCCTGAAAGGTTTGCCATTTTACTTGCCAATGGCTCTTTTTATTTTCTGATTTTGTGTCGTTTTCTAATCATATTCAAATTTTCTTATTGCTGTTAGATAAAACTTGTAGTATATATAGTTTATAAAAGTGTGTATTTAATAATGATTTTCAAAAAAAATATCAAGCATTCCTTATTCTGAAAATAACCACCACCTTTAGAAATTATAAATTTTAGCCAAAAAGCATATGCACGTCCTTTTGATAAAAATGAAGATAATGGTTGACAAAGTAATACAGACTACGGAGTACTAGTTTTTTCTTGGAGAAAAAGAGCAATTCCAAGTTCCAATATTGAAAGGGGGGCTTCTCAGATTAGATTAGGAGTAAAAATAAGGTGACATTAAATATTAATTATTAATATGATAGTACTAATAATACCTTAATATGATGCTATGGTTTCAAGATTGCAATACTGGTTCATATTTAGGAAAAAATGGTACTTCTATGTAGGGAAACAACCTCTTTTTACTTATTGGGGAAATCTCCAATACTTAAATCCGGCCACATCTCCAATGATTATGTGAGCACTTAGGATAAATATCTTGCATGAAGATTTGCATATACTCCGTTGTTGGTCCCGGTTATACTGGATACAGTCTAGAGGGGGGGTGAATAGACTGTATTGGTTTTTAGCTTTTTAAACTAAGTACCAGATTTACAGAATAGCCTGTTCTGTTGGAAGAACAGACTGACAGCGGATGGGGTTCTGGTAGGGAGTTCTGTTAGCCTCAGAGAAGCAATAGGCAGTAGGCCTTCTGTTAACTCGTAGAACAAGTTCTGCTGAACACAGATACCAAGTCCAAGGAGTTATACAGTTCTAACTAAGTGCAAGTATTAAAAGCAGTAAGTAAACGACACCAGAGATTTTTATAGTGGTTCAAGGAACAACTCGTTCCTCTAATCCACTGTTCCACTAAGCTGTAAAAACTGCCGTTTACAAAGCCTTAGTCCTAGTACTTAAGAAGCACTCCACGTCTTCTTCAAGCCTAGATGTGTCCTGGGATGCACTGCCTGGCTTCCTTTAACACTGGTCCTTTCACTGAGTTTCCTTGAAGTATCACCACTTCACTACTCCAGTTATTTGGACGTCCTTCTTGTAGCAAGAAGAGTTTCTGTTGAAACTGGGGTTCCTCCAACTAGCTTCGTTACAAAAGATTTGTATGTGATGAGCTTGAAGAGTTGAAGAACACTTGGAACTTTGCTTGAGTTGGAAAGAGTATTTTTCCAACTTCTGCCTTCTCTTGTAGAAGATAATGAGTTGAATCTCAAGGTGGCTTTTTGCTTTTCAGAGTTTGAATATCTTGCTTGTGGTTAGCAAAAGTTGCAATGTAATCTTGACAAAGTTATAGCAAAGTTGTTCGGTTGTTCTTCGTAGTGTATCTTTTATACTGAGGTTGTCTTCCCGTTGGAGGGGTAGGAGGACAACTGCATTTAATGCGCGATCAGTTGACTTGATTTGTAGAGCCCGATAAAGTTGGCGGGTTACTATTTTGGGATAAAGTATTCTTGACATTGCGGCCAATCATCTGCAATTACTCTACGTAGCATGGGGTGCATTAAATGAGCATTTAATGCATGCACTGTAGCTTTTCCGTTTCATACTCCTAGCCGTTGAAGGAATCTTTTAGTTGACTTCCCGGTTCTTTGAAATTCTTCTAAGTGTCAGACCTTCTGGCGTCTTTGTCTGAGAGTAGAACAGAGGAGGTCTGGAGCACTTCTGTTGGAGTATCCAACAGAGACCCAGAAAGGTTTCTGTCAGAGTCAAGACTAACAGAGATCCTGAGGACTTCTGTTCTGGAGCAGAGAACCAAAGGTCCTCTGTTTCAATAATGCCTTAAGAGGCACTTCTGCTCTTGAAGTCCTTCTGTTCTTGAAGCCCTTCTGCTCTTGAAGGTCTTCTGTCAAGTCGAATACATCTAAGAATTTTACAAAGGAAAATTCTAATACATAATTTCTAAAGGGGTACTCTAAAGCCCTAATTAATCTAGCATCATCAAAATCTAATTACAATTATTCCTTACAATTTCCCCCTTTTTGATGATGCCAAAACCCTTTAACTATTTCCAGAGAAGTGCCTTCACCATAAAAAAAATAAGTTTAAAAACTTCCATTAAAATTTTGGTGGGCAACTTGGCATAGGAAAATAGTAAGAGTACGATACATTCAGATAGCAGAATATAACAGAAATAAACAAACACAAGCAGAAGGCAAAAAAGACAAGAATTTGAGGAAAAACACTTCAAAGTAAGAAGGCATAGATGTGATTTTATTAGATAGGCTTTACAGAGTTTAAACCTTACACATTCTCCAGATTAGCTGCCTGTAGAGCTTCTTCCTCTAGTCTTTGAAGCCTGAGCAGTTCTTCGTTTATTTCAGCTCTGATTTTGAACAGATTGCCAGACCTTTGATAAGATGCCCATATTGGAGAAAGCTTACAGTCCAAATAGTTGAGGACACCTTCATGTATGGTCTTTCCTGGGACAATGTTCTTCTTGTACCATTCTTCTGCTTCTTCAAGTGATCCTCCATACCTAACTCTGACAACACCATCTTTGTCCAGATAGATGTGCTGTTGTTGGGTAGGAGTCATTTTAGCCTTCATCTCTTCAAATTGAGCTCTGTCAATGTTCTGAGAGCCACCCAATCTCCACTCAGTGAAGTTGAAAACTTTTTTCTTCTTGGTGCTCTTCTTTACTGGAGATGGGGGTCTAGGTATGCCTGCTGCTCTCTTCTTTTGTAGGGCAGCTTCAAAATAGGGAGCCGGATCTACTGCAGGCTCATCAGAGGAGGGTGGCCTGGTAGGAGTTCTGTGAGACCTAGGCCTGGTCTGTTGAGGGTCCTCTTCCCCCTTTTTGGCATCATTCAGATCTTCAGTCATTAGACTGATCTTCTAGAATTCTGAGGCCTGAGTTGAGGCTATCTGCTCCAGGGCCTCTGGTAGTGTCCGGGTGATAGAGGTAAGGCCTTCAATCAGACCCTGCTGCTTCTGTATTGCAGAGAAGATGTCCTTGTTATTGGCTTCAAGGAGCACCATCTTCTGATAACGATCTCTGTCAGTGGACAGAAGTGCATGAGCCTGTTTTTGATGCACTCTGCACATTGCCTCAATGGAGGTCAAGTGTCTTTCTGTCCTGGCATCAGATTCTTTTAGAGCTTCAAGATGCTATGAGATATTGTGAATAGCATGGCCTTGACTCAGGAGAGTCTGCTGGAAGATAGAAAGAGTGTTGTGAATGCCTACCACTTCTGTTGACAGGGCATCAGTTCTGGCAGTTGATGAGGCTATGAAGTTGTTGAGAGTTCCTGTGAGGTTCTCAAAACGATCAGAGATAAACTGCATACCTGAGTTGAGATTGTCATTCACATGAGCAAGGTGCCCATAGTGTTTGTCATTGACCTCAATCAGTTTGTTCAAGCCTTGGAGGATCTGTCCTCCAAATTCTTCAGCAGATTCAACAAATTTGTTGAAGGGAACGTTGTGCTGTTGTCCATCTGGGTGAGGCATCTCCAGACCTCTTCCCTTAGGTAAAGGATGATGCTCTTGGACAGATGAAAGAGATTGGACAGCCTGTTCATGTTCCAGTTGAGTCAGAGGAGAGGTCTTCTGTCTCTTGGATGTGGCTTGATAAGACTTGCTGACCATGAATCCATCCATGTCAGATGAGTCTTCATAAGAGGAGTATATAGGTATGGTGTTCCTGATGACCTTTTTCTTTTTTCTGAAGGAGGGATTGGGGGCAGTAGAATGCCTAGAATTCCCTTGAGGGGCAGAGATGGGGGAGACAGTTGTAGGGTCAGAATCCCTGAGAAACCATACAGGTTTAAGGTTTTCTGCAGGTTGTTGTGGAGGTGAAGATTCTGGAGGAGGAGATTGATGATCAGATTCAGAGGATGAGGCGGAGATTTGTTGGGGGGAGGGGATCTGGTGCTGGGGTGGAGAGTGAACAGGTGAGGCATTTTGTTGAGGGGGAGATGGTGGAGGGGAGGGTGAACGGTTTCTGAAGGGAACAATTGCTCTGCAGGGAGATGCAATTTTCTGTTTGGGTGAATGAGAAGGGGTGGGGTTTTTTTTGTTTAGGAGATAAAGGTTCAGGGTGTTCTGGTGGAGGGGTTCTGGTGCTGGAAGGAGGTGAGGGAATGAGGGGTTCTGTTGGGATATTATCAGAGGGGGTTGGAGATATGACCTCAATGATGTTCTCCTTGAGCAAAGAAGTCCTCCACTCCTTGATATGCTCCATCATTGCTTGCCCTTCTGTCTTGGGTACAGAGGGCTCTCCTGGGTTGAGATGGGGTTGCACAGAATCTGTTGCCATCTTGGTGAATAGCCATTCCTCGAATGCTTCAATTTCTTCCTCTTCCAAAGGTTTGACAGCCTCTTCTGAAGGTGAGGAGATGAGAATGGCCTTCCCTTTGTAGCTTGCCTTCTTCTTTTCAAGAACAGAGTGAAGGAAGTTGAGGGCAAAGCACTTTGAGACATCATCAGTCCCAACCCAGTTCAGAATGGCTTCCTCTTCTGGCTCATAATGGTCAAAATATTGGATGATTTTGGAGAGGGGTCCCATTCTCCACCTTCTCCATTCGAAAACCCGGGTAAACTGTCTGTCTAACAAGGACAGATACCCATCTTTGACAGGACTAGGGTGTTCTGTTGAAGTAGACACCCTGTTCTGTTCAGGAGATGCAGCAGAGGTGGGGATCTCTGGTTCCCCCTGAGTGTCTGCCACTCCTTCAGATTCAGAAACCACAGGTTTAGAAACCTTCTTCTTTGGTTTGGTGGTCCTCTTCCTCTTCTGTCCGGCCTTAGGGGGGCAACAGGTGCTTCCCCTTCAGTCTTCTTCTTCTTCTTTTTCTTCTTCTCAGCAGAAGGGGCTACAGAAAGAGGTTTCTGTATCTTCTCTCCCTGTTGTCTCTTAGCCTCAAGTTGAAGCTGTCTCTTCATTTCAGCCTTTATGGCTTTCTCCCTATTTGGAGAAGCAGTTAAGAAGATTACCTTGGTGTGATCCAAGGTTGAAGCCTTCCTCAAGTGTATTCCTTGTCTGAGAAGCACTTCTGAAACCAGTAGCCCATGTCCTAGCTTCCTAGAGTAGAGGCTAG